TTCAGGGTTCCTTGGAAAGGGAAGGGTTGACCCGGGGACAGTAAAGGGTGGCCTTCTCAAGCCCTTGGGGACTTAGAAGGGGAAAATAAAGCATCCAGAGTGAGGTGGCTTCTGGGAAGTTGCCGGGGGAAGGTGGGATCCCAGGAGATTTCCAAGATTTAGCAAGAAAGAGCATCCTTAGAACAAATACCTCCCCTAAGTCTTCCTTGTTTTGCCAAGTAGCTGTGCCAGTCACCCTCCTGCTGGAGCCAGGAGGCTGTGAATCCTTTCTGATCCTCTTTCTCCTTCAATCCAAGACAAGCCAGTGCCTACTAACTCCTAAAAGCATCTTTATTCTGCCCACTTCCCTCCGCCCTGTCTGCCTTCTTTTGCCTGGTCTCCCTGCTTCCTTCGACTTTTCTCCACCTCGCCAGTGGCTCTGCACACAGCAGCCAGTCATCTTTTTATAATTTCAACAATCTGACCAGGTCTCCGTTGCGGTTTGACCCCTTCCAATGGCTCCCCAGGTCACTGCAGATGAAGTCCGACCTCTTTGCCTCCAGCCGTGAGGCCCATGCAGTCTGGCCCTGTTGGTTTTCCTGCTTCATTGAGGGTCTCCCGAGCCCTTGGCCTTAGCTATCTTTCCATTTCTGGGATGTGCCAAGCTCGTGCCCACCTCCCAGCTTTTGCAGGTGCTGTTCCGTCTGCTTGTACATCCATTCCCCTGTTGTGCAGGGGGCTCCTTCTTACACTCAGTACCTAAGATGCTGTCCCTGCCGATTCTAAGTTAGGCCACCATGTCCCTTATTCTAAACCATTATCTCCCACCTTAGACTTTTGCAGTTGCCTCTTCTGTGCTCTCCCAGCTTCCACCTTTAGTCCCCTATATGCAGCTGGAGGGAGCCTGTGAAAACTCAAGCCAGATCACATCTTTCTGCTGTTCAGAACATACTTTAGTGCTTGTTCTATCAGAGCAAAAGCCAAAGTCTTCACATGGTCCACATGGCTGTCCGTGATCCATCCCCCCATTACCTCCTTGATGTTGTCTCCTCCTTTCCCCC